ATTTCTATAAAATCCAATTCTTATCCGATAGACCTTGGGGATAGTATGAACATGTTTGCCATGAAAATTTTCCGTTTTCTCTAATAGCCTATTTGGGAGAACGGCATTGTATTGTATCCTCGTGGTAAGACTATTGTATTGTTGACACGACGAGTGTAATCGACGTAGGTTTTTTATTTGGTGCCGGTCTAACGCATCCTTGTGTGACATTATACATATGTTCTTCTAGAACATTCTATTGCGAACACATTGGTTCATTGGCTTCTCAGATGTTTTTTTTCTGCAGGGATATTCCTGCGGGCCCTAAGCCTCTGGCTGGCCCACTAAGTGTTGCTTGTTTCTGTTTTACTTGGGCGGAGTATGAGTATGTATGACTCGTATGGTCGCTTCAGTAAGATTTTGCCATACGTGTTTAACAACTTCTTCTGCTCTGTTGAATCTAAGTTGAAATCTTAATGGGTTTGTAACTGTGCACTGTGCTAAGCTCTAATGGCTTAGAACGGCCCTCTTTGTACTATGGTGCGCATAGTTACAAGTTGTGGATAAACGCTTTGACCTGCCGGCCGGGAAGGACTGACCGGGCGACGATCCTTAACTGCTCATCCAGCAGAGAATAGGTTGTTAAACGATTTGGCGGGTCGTATGCCTTGGAAAAAATTAGGATTAAGGACTTACTCGAAACGCTATATGCATGCTAGTGACTTTACAAGAATTTAAGAACTCTTTTTATATATATAAATAAAAAAAAATAAAAAAAATCCGCTAATGAATCTTTTTGTGTGCGTTGAGATTTGTATCTGGCATAATTAAAATATTAACTTTAATAATTCGTTTGTTAGACAATATATGCTATTCAGATCTATAAATTACTTTAGAAAGGTCTATAATGCATATAAATATTAATTTACACACTCCTGGCGCTATACGCTAAGAATTTCAATATGGCGTTCAAATAATTTTAGGCAGGGGGTCTCTGGGGTCGGTTGGTCGCTAACGGGTCATTGACGGGTCAGTAGTCAGGAAGCAGCGGCGGCGTAAGCATGTCGCTCCCGTGTAGGTAAGGCTGATAATTTTTTTTTTTTTGCTATCTGAGCAGTTGGGAGGTACACACGAGTATACAGTCTACCTCCACCTAATGCTTAATACATTATACATTTGCTCGCTATTATAGCATTGAGTTTTTGAAATGTCTCCGAGGATCGTTGTTTCTTTCATCCGGGTTCTGTCGTGTTTAAATGTTTGTATTCCACTAATGCTAAATAGTCTGTCCCCTCTCGGATATTGTTGAAGATTTTGAGGATCATGATTTGCCAACATTATATGAGGTAGGATATTATTTAGAATACACTCCCCCAGAGTGTTAAACCACCCCGTCGTCAGGCTAGGCTCGTTAACGCAGCGGTCGACCTCCGCCTCCACCTCCCAAGATGCATTTATAATCGACTTTCATGTACTGTGTATTAAAAATAGTTTTTATCGTGTATAAATTAATTTTATATTCTATGTTTAATTAGGCGTATAGTAGGTTCGGCATTTAGGTTCTGTTGGCAATTATTTGCACTTGAAGTATGTGGAGGGTGAAGCATTTACAGTTGCCTGTCCTCAGGCCAGGCTCGCCTACGCGGCGTCCGACCCGCGTTCGTCAATTTTATTGCAGTGCGAATTCAGAATTATTCTTTCGTATAAGGTAATATTATTTCATCAAGTTAATAGTTTAAAAACCAAGTTTAGTGACAAGCGACTGTCCAGTGTACAAATACTGGAATAGATGAACGGGAAGGAGAAGGTCCGCTCCCTCCCGCTCCTTCCCAACGGGAAGGAGCGGGGCCACCCCCTTCAGGAACTGAATTTACCAGAGGGCCACTAACACTAGTGGCCTCGATGAGGACAATAAGCCGGCGGCTTGTCAAAGGTCCCCCCCTTCCCCATTTGTCCTGATCTTTTTAGCTGTATTTTAAAACCCAGCAGAGTTTTGGCGTTTACGGCTTCGGCGGGTAGGCGGTTCCACGGGTTTACAACCCTATAGGTAAAAAAGCATCTGTTTCCTGTTCAACATTCTGGCTTGTTGAGTGTGAACCCGTTGCTCCTTGTTCGTGTAACATCTGACCTTTTGAAGACATTGTCCTGATCGACATCCTCTAAATTGTTCAGTACTATATTTTAAAGGGTTCTATGAGGTCCGCCCTGTCATTCCTGGTTTGCAGTGTTAGTCCTGATACGTTCCTGATAAGAGAGATATGACTAAACTCTGGTATGATTTTTGTCGTAAGACATAGCTCCATAGCTCTGGTAAGACATGGCTCCAGAGCAGCTATGTCTTTCTGAAGATGAGGTCTCCATGCCTGGATGCAATAATTCATGTGGGGGGCGCACCAGAACCTTACACAATTGAAGGTCTACTTTCTTTTCCTTGAAAGTAAAGACACGCATGATTATTCCCAGGGTTTGGTTTGATTTTTTAGTGCCACTTGCTGCCTCCCCAGCCGCTCTGGGGCTGTTTGTCAGTGATAGGTGGATTCTGACGCCAAGATAATGTTGATGATTTGGTAGTTGTGTTGTGTATTACTATGCCTCACGTGATGGATTCTGACTCCAAGGTGCTTTTCTTCATCTGTTGAAAGGTAGTGCTGTCAGTTTGGTAGTGACGTGGGTTGTTATGCCCCCACATGCAAGGTCTTGCATTTATCGACATTAAAAAGTCATCTGACCATTTGTGGAGTTCATGTAGATCTCTTTGTAAGGTTTCAATATGGCTTTCACTTACCATTTTACCATAGATCTTAGTGTCTGCAAATTTGATTTGGTTTGTAATATTCTCATCTATGTCATTGATGTACATGACAAAAAGGGTGGGCCCCTAAATGGACCTTTTTGGCACCCTACTTAGCACACTGGTGGGGGTTGGGTGAGAGATTTGCTTGTTAGGCTTCCGATTACACAACTGGTTGGGCTCCGGGGGCGTGACTTGTTGGCTTCTAGTTGTTCATGGTCGGGCTCCGGTTCGTTCATGCTAGGCTTGCGGTTAAATAACTGGTTGGGCTCCGGTTAAATAACTGGTCGGGGTCCGGTTACACAACTGGTCGGGCTTCGGTTACACAACTGGTCGGGGTCAAGTTACACAACTGGTTGGGCTCCGGTTACATAATTGTTCAGGCTATGGGGATGTCACTTGGGCTTCGGGCTGTGCATTGTCGGGATTCTGTACTTGCATGGTTGTACTTCAGGTGTTTTGTTCGGTTCGTTCATGCTAGGCTTGCGGTTACACAACTGGTCGGGGTCTGGTTACACAACTGGTCGGGGTCTGGTTACACAACTGGTCGGGCTTCGGTTACACAACTGGTCGGGCTCCGGTTACTTAACTGGTCGGGCTCCGGGGGTGTCACTGGGGCTTCGGGTTGTGCATGGTCGGGCTTCGGTTCGTGCATAGTTGAGGTTTTGTTCGGGTCGTTCATGCTAGGCTTGCAGTTACACAACTGGTCGGGGTCCAGTTACAAAACTAGTCGGGCTTTGGTTACACAACTGGTCGGGCTCCGGGGGTGTCACTGGGGCTTCGGGTTGTGCATAGTCGGGCTTCGATTCGTGCATAGTTGTGCTTCGGAGGTTTTGTTCGGGTCGTTCATGCTAGGCTTTCGGTTACACAACTGGTCGGGGTCTGGTCACACAACTGGTCGGGTTTCGGTTACACAAATGGTCGGGCTTTGGCTACACAACTGGTCGGGGTCCGGTTACACAACTGGTCGGGCTTTGGTTACACAACTGGTCGGGCTCCAGTTACTTAACTGGTCGGGCTCCGGGGGTGTCACTGGGGCTTCGGGTTGTGCATGGTCGGGCTTCGATTCGTGCATAGTTGTGCTTCGGAGGTTTTGTTCGGGTCGTTCATGCTAGGCTTTCGGTTACACAACTGGTCGGGGTCTGGTCACACAACTGGTCGGGTTTCGGTTACACAACTGGTCGGGCTCCGGTTACTTAACTGGTCGGGCTCCGGGGGTGTTACTGGGGCTTCGGGTTGTGCATGGTCGGGCTTCGATTCGTGCATAGTTGTGCTTCGGAGGTTTTGTTCGGGTCGTTCATGCTAGGCTTGCGGTTACAGAACTGGTCGAGGTCCGGTTACATAACTGGTCGGGCTTTGGTTACACAACTGGTCGGGCTCCGGTTAAATAACTGGTCGGGCTCCGGTTAAATAACTGGTCGGGCTCCGGTTACTTAACTGGTCGGGCTCCGGGGGTGTTACTGGGGCTTCGGGTTGTGCATGGTCGGGCTTCGATTCGTGCATAGTTGTGCTTCAGAGGTTTTGTTCGGGTCGTTCATGCTAGGCTTGCGGTTACACAACTGGTCGAGGTCTGCTTGCACAACTGGTTGGGGTCTGCTTACACAACTGGTCGGGGTCTGCTTACACAACTGGTCGGGGTCTGCTTACACAACTGGTCGGGGTCTGCTTACACAACTGGTCGGGGTCTGCTTACACAACTGGTCGGGGTCTGCTTACACAACTGGTCGGGATTCGGGGTGCACAATAAACTACCACTCTGTGGTTGAATAAGGGATACTTAATAAACTATCCACCTCTGGCGGCAAAAAATCAATGAAGTGTGCAACTACAGTCTAGTTGCAAACATTGCAAATAGTCTAATGAATTATTGCAGTTGTATTGTTTGCACCATCTTGAGTCTATTCGTCCTGTAATAATAGACAAAGCCTATATATATATATATATATATATATATATATATATATATATATATATATATATATATATATATATATATATATATATATATATATATATATAAAATATTGTGTGTGTGTGTGTGCAGAAATAATATTAATAAAACATTTAACATCGTGTAGTGTACTCTATATATCAAAATACATTACTTTGAAACCCGTATCAATCACTAAAAAAAAAAATTGGGCTACTTTGATTACAAATTCGCTACTTTTAAAGCGTCAGGTCGCTACTTTGAGCAAGTTGGCGGTGGCAACCCTGCTGCTGCAATGTTTTGGTCGCGTTAGTGACGGGGATGTTGCGTGAGGCGGAGTGTTGTTGCTCTCATTCATGTCTCCCCGCACTGTTTCGCCTGCAAGTTACATTAAGAATCACTTTAGCTGCTCACGTTAACTTACACGCTAATATTTAAAGCCATTAGTTGATTAAGACAATGTTATAGAGCTGAGTATTGCTGGAGACCGACCTGATTAGGAGAAAGCGCACAGCTCTGGCGCCTTTTAAACGGTCGTGTAAGGTGGTATTGAGATAATATTTATTTAATAATAATGCAGACGTAAAAAACGACGTCGCTCGCAACGAGAAGTGGGGCTCATTGTTCAAACTTGAAGCTTGGTGATTTCCTGGCTCCAGTTCCCAGGGGTATGGTGAGGAGGCTGGAGGCATGCCCCAGGGGTATGGTGAGGAGGCTGGAGGTGGGACCCAGGGGTACGGTGAGGAGGCTGGAGGTGTGCCCCAGGGGTATGGTGAGGAGGCTGGAGGTGGGCCCCAGGGGTATGGTGAGATGAGGTGGGGCCCAGGGGTATGGTGAGGAGGCTGGAGGTGTGCCCCAGGGGTATGGTGAGGAGGCTGGAGGTGTGCCCCAGGGGTATGGTGAGGAGGCTGGAGGTGTGCCCCAGGGGTATGGTGAGGAGGCTGGAGGTGTGCCCCAGGGGTATGGTGAGGAGGCTGGAGGTGTGCCCCAGGGGTATGGTGAGGAGGCTGGAGGTGTGCCCCAGGGGTATGGTGAGGAGGCTGGAGGTGTGCCCCAGGGGTATGGTGCAACTTGCTCCACCAGGGTAGCTGAGGAATGTCTTCGTCTACTAGAGGAGGCCTACCGTGCCAGAAGTGGTCACATGTCTGGGTGAACTGCACATTGATTATTTTGCAGCTTGGCTTTGTTCTTTTTCTGTACATTAGTTCCCAGTTTAGTTTTTATTCTTGAAACTTGCCAGTTCCTTCACAACAACAACAATATTGTGTAAAGAGTAAACATCTAATGTACAAGCAGCCTCTCCTAAGGAGTGTGAATACAGTGGACATTTACCCATGGGATTTTGTTTTATTAGCTTACAGACCCATGGGACACTAGAGTATTTAGGATATATGGTAGTTCAATATCTAGTCTAGAAAGCTTCCATTATGGCACAAGTCACAAATGTGATTCACAGATATACAGTATTTGTAATTTATATTATTTTAAGGGAAAACCAGTACTCTACAGTGTATATTCCACAGTAGCATCCTGTTGTGCAGGTTGAAGGGCAGTCAAGTCACAGATGAAATATCCCAGATTCGATCCCTGTGGCATGATGGAAGCAGTTGGACAATGAATCTTTTCGTCTGATGCAATCATCTGATCATTGATGATTGACACAAAATGAATTTCAACCTTAAGGTTCTGGTTAAGCACTAGCTAGCAGGCCTGACTCGGTTTCTTTTAACAGTATCCTGGTACTGTATTGGTTGGAGCAGCTGTTTGTTAACTTTATTTCAAAGGGTACATTGGATGTGACCACTGTAGAAGAGGAGACATGACAGTTTGACGCAAGTTGTTGAAGCAATCCATCAAGGTGTAAGTTATTTGTCTTGAGTGAATAATATTGTGCTACTTTTTGTTAATGTTTACAACATTACTGTACTTGATAAGTCTACAATGAGTTGTTTCCTGATTTATCTGAGGGCCACTAACCCTAGTGGCCACAACAAGGACAGGAAGCCAGCGGCTTGTCAAAGGTCCCCCCTCTCCTCTTTTGCCTTGATATTTTTCAGGTAGATTATAAAACACAACATAGTTTTGGCATTTATGGCTTTGGCAGGTAGGCAGTTCCATGGGTATATAACCCTATGGGTGAAAAAACTTATGTTTTCAGTCCTACATTGTGGCTTGTTGAGCTTGAAACCATTGCTCCTTGTTTGTGTTACATTTGACCTTTTGAAGAAATTGTCTGGGATCAATATCCTCTAAGCAGTCCCTGTAGCGCAATGGTAAAGCACTTGCCCGGCGCTTCGTGAGCGATTTGGCCTGGGTTCATATCCTGGCCAGGGAAGAATTGACTGGGTGCCAATCGTTAACTATAGCCTCTGTTCACCCAGTAGTGAATGGGTACCTGGTTAAATGATTTGGCAGTTCATATTCCAAAGAAAATTAGGATAAAGGATCTGCCCAAAATGCTATGCATGCTAGTGGCCCAACAACAATGTAAGAGTTTTTGTATATACAGTACAGTGTATATTTATAAATAAAACATATACAGTATATATACAACTTGTTCAGTATTTTAAGTTTCAATGAGATCTGCCCTGGTTTGCAGTGTTAGCCCTGTGGCCTTCAACCATTCTTGATGAGAGATTCTGGAATAACTTTTGTTGCCCAGTGTTGCACTTTCTCCAGAGCGGCTATATCATTCTGAAAATGAGGTCTCCATGCTTGGATACAGTAATCTAAATGGGGGCTCACCAGTGATTTATACAGTTGAATCATTACATTCTTTTCCTTCAAGGCAAAAGTACGCTTGATTATTCCCAGGGTTTGGTTAGTTTCTCTGAATGCTGCTCCCACCTGTTGTGCAACTTTCATTGAGTGCTTGAGTTTTACTCCAAGGTCCTTTTCTTCATCAATGTGCTGTAATGTAGTGCTATTAATTTGGTAGTTGTGGCATGGGTCGTTATACCTTACATTCATGGTCTTGCCTTTGTCAATATTAAAAAGCATTTGCCAACCTTCTGATGATTTGTGGAGTTCGTGTAGATCTCTTTGTAAGGCTTCAATATTATCATTCCCACTTTACCATAAATCTTTGTCATCTGCAAATTTAATGTCTTTAATATTCTCATCTATGTCATTGATGTATATGATAAAAAAGGGTAGGCCCCAAAATGGACCCCTGTGGCACCCCACTTACCACATTTCTCCATTCAGATTCGTTACCATTTAGCACGACCTTTTTGTTTTCTTCATTTCAACCTACCAGCTCCTGTATGTTTTCCAGACATTGTTTAAAGCATGTCAGTACATTTTGTTTAGTCTTTACATTTACTAATCTGTATACATATCTAACTTTTTTTTTCTCTTTTTCCTGACAAGGTTGGAGGCCCAGCTGGAATGGGGACTTCTCTGAGAGCAAGATCATTTGTCCTTGGTGTGATGGTGGCTTCATTAACTTGGGCCATTATCATATATCTTTACTTTTCCCTTACTGAGGTTAGTAGGTTTATATATAATCCACTTATGAAGAGTTGTTACTGTATTTGGCCTTTAAAACAAGATTTAAAATTATGTACTGTATTGTATTTACTTTGTATATGTACAAAAAGGTGCAAGTAGAGTATGGTTTTAATACTAGTGCTGTTTTGGGCACAATAAAAGCAAATTATATCACTTAGCTTGTGAATAAAATGGAGAGCACTAGTGGAAAGAGAAGTGACAAAAATATTAAAAAGTCTCAGCATTAGGATTTAGGTGATGCTGTTCATCAATAACTTAAGCAACACTGTAGCATGGAGCTGGCTGCTGGTGGTGAGCATTGACAGTCTGTAACTGGCATTAACTATTGGCATTGAGGTCTTCAAGGCCTATTTAGGGGTGACTGCTGTAACATATTGTTTACGTGTACGTATTTGGTTGTTTACACAAGAGTTTAGTGGTTTTTAATATTTATTTAGTATAGTCTTGGCTACAGCAGTCAGTTTGTTGGCAATGTAGTGAAGTGTTGTTGTAGTTGAGCCATAGCCTGCATCAGAGCAGAGAACCGAGTGAGGCCGGGGATAGAGAGCAGCTCGGATGTGGGGTGTGTGTGTGTAGTGTGGTGCTCTGAATGTGGGCGGAGTGCGGGATAAGAGTGTGGAAGCTCGATGTGGCCGGAGTCTGGCTGTCTGCTCTGTCAAGACTGAAACGTCTTGTGAGGGTAGGAACTGCACATGTTAAGTGTTACGTTGTTGTTGATGATGAATGTTGAAGATGTGTGATATTTCTCAAGCTTCTGTACTGAACTACACTACTCTTGGAGTTTGATGATGATTCCCTGTCGACTGGTTATATTACCAGTCTTCACTTCACCTGACCATCCTCTAGCAGCTTTGGGAAGAAGTATTAACTGTAATTAGTTGTACACTTGTAAGGAGGTATTAATTGTAACTAGTGGACCAAGTAGAATTAAGAGACCCATGTCATTATCTGCACGTAATCTAATGTGAGTTTGGAGCTAGTATATTATTGACATCATATACTCAACCTGTTCTCTTATAAATTACTGTATGTCTGAATTTGGCCGTTTGCCCATATGGCCAAAAATTAACGTAATTTCAAAATTAAAAAAAAAATGAAAATAAATTTTGGATTTTTTTTTTTTTCCTAAACAGTAAGTTAAGGGTCCTCTGATAGGTTAGGAGAGTAGGAAATTCGCCTAAATGTTTCAAAACGTCATGAAAGACGTTAATTGAAAGTTTCCTCTCCTAACCTAACCAAGTAAGCCAGAGGACTCAAACAGAAAACGGGACAGTACATCACTCTTGTGAGCCGATTTCATTTCAAATTACAGTACGTCCATTTTTGGCCATAGCACGCATACAAGCAAAAAGCGACATAATTTTTAAGAGGATGGATTGATATACTTGCTACACTGCAAAAGTTTCACAGGCAGCATGACATACGCATTTTGCTACCTCTGTCATCTAGACCAGCCTGAGCTACAAAATAGGGCCTTGTAAGATAATTGACTTCATTCTCGACTCACAGTTGGGGCTCCTGGGTTTGATTCCTAGACGGGACAGAAATGTTCCATATTTTGGAGATGCCACTGTACTGTATTATGCAAATAGTCTCTGTACAGTATTGCATATTACTCTTGTTAACAATACTAATGCAGCCCTGTACTATTATCTTTTATTTCTCATAGTTTTGTATATGAGTAGTCAACTTCTAATGTGTTAGCAGACTTCAAGCACTAAACTATAGATCAGTGTCATTAACATGTATTTCATGCAAGATTTTCAAAAACGTCATCAGAAAAAGAATTGTAGAACACTTGGAGAGAGTAACATTTATAATAGGCACAATACAGCTTCAGAGAGGAAAAAATCATGCTTTACAAACTTGATTGACTTCTATGACAGGGTCATTAAGATAAGACAGGAGAGATGGGTTGACTGCTTCTTCCTAGACTGCTAAAAAGCTTTTGATGCAGTTCCTCAGGAAAGATATAATATACAAGATAGCGAGGCTAGCGAGGATAACAGGAAAGGCACTGCACTGGGTGTATGGGTGGTAGGAAAGTACTCACCTAGTTGTGTTTATGGGGGTTGAGCTTTGGCTCTTTAGTCCTGCTTCTCAACCGTCAATCTGATGTACAGATTCCCAAGCCTACTGGGCTCTATCATATCTACATTTGAAACTGTGTATGGAGTCAGCCTCCACCACATTACTTCCTAGTGCATTCCATTTACTGACTACTCTGACACTGAAAAAGTTCTTTCTAATGTGTCTGTGGTTCATTTGGGTCCTCTGCTTCCACCTATGTCCCCTTGTGTGTGTACCACCCATGTTAAATAATCCAATTAAAGTGGAATGCACTGAAGGAAGAGATTGTTGAAGCTAATTCTATCCACAACTTTAAAAATAAATATGATAAATGTTCAAAGGGGTAATTAGCATGCAAGGGATAAATAGCTAGAAGGCACAGCATAAATGGCCAGATCTAACTCCCCCATAGTCTCTGACATTTCCCATAGATTATCTAAAGCTTTACCCTATTAGTTTTCCCTGGAATGCTGACTTGCTGATCTGTTTTCAACCAGGTTTCCAATTACAAGGGCTGGGTGAAAAAGGGCTAACAGTTACGGATCAGTGCCCAGTCAACCCTCCATGTCAGATCTAAAACCCGGCCGATAACACTTGTGGAGCAAGTGTATCCACAAGGATATACTTTGACTGGCAACTCTCGTGGAAATATGTTCATAATGTATTTGTATTCTTAATTTATACATACATTTAATTTACACAACAACATTTAATTTATATATACAGTACTATACAAGGGGAAAAATATTGAAATTGTTTTATTGTCAGGCTTAATTTCAAGCTTAATGTTGAAGTTTATTTATTTTAGCTGTAATTTTTTATTTTTAATTAACAAATAATATTTATCAATATAAGATGGTGCTGCTTTAAATATTTATTTTTAATGTTTTCCAACAGGATCTGACCCCCTCTTTTCAATATCAACAAAACATTAACCCTCGAGGTCCAGAAGGGCCCCAGGGACTGCACGGACGATATAGTCGTATTAGAGAGATTGAAGGCCATTCAGAGCTGAGGAAAGCGAAAGAACAAACTTATATACAACCAGTAGATGATGTAGTAAAAAATGAAATTAATAAATATAATGTAAAAAATAGGATTATGGAGACCAAGAAAAAGAAGTATGAAAATAGTGATAACTTTCGTAAAAATGAAATTAAAACAGCAGACGATAATAAGGTAGAAAATGTTAAGCAAAATGATGCAACAAAACCTGAAGAAGGTGCTGCTGAAGAAGGTTTTCTGGCAGAACTTGGATTGGTAAAGACGCATGAAGATCAAGAGGTAAGATGTAATTTCTGAACTGGAATTTTTTTGTAATAGTATACAGGACATTACATGTTCAGTACAGTACTAGTAATAAAGTATATCCAATAGCAAATTTTTTATAATCTTAATTACAATAACATTTTCAGGAAAAAGAAAAGGGTTATCGTCTCCATGCTTTCAATACCCTCATCTCTACACGACTCTCCTTACATCGCCCGATACCCGACACAAGGAATAAAAGGTTTGTCATTATCCTGAGTTCAGGTTCTATTCTTTATCACTTATCTCCTAGTACAATATATCAGTCTACAAGTATTTAATATGTTTGAACTCTCACTTAACTATACCAGGGATGGAAAACCTTTGTTATACAAAAACCATATTTAACTTAGTGAAGATTTCATAAGGCCACACATTATTATGCACTGTATGTATTCAAATATGTCAAAACAAATTTACAGATCAAGTTCCAGTAATATAAATTGCTTTCAAAGGCTGCACTGAGTACCATACAAAGTTGCATTCTTTGTATGTTATACACACAAAGAGTGTATGTTACACATACATTCTTTGTATTCTAGCACTAAGGTATAGTATAGTATTTTATACTATAACTACTATTGGCTGCTAGTGTCTTTACATATTTTCAAATTCAAATAATTATTTAGGTAAAGTACATACATACAAGGGGTGATACAGATATTAATGAATTTATAGAGAGAGCTAGTACACACAATGCCTAAAGCCACTATTACGCGAAGCGTTTCGGGCAGAAACGCCCAAAATGCCATTTTAATACTGTTATTGGATTATATATATCTTTAGTGCAAATGTGATAAAATTATAGTATATTATTTTTTAATTACAGATGTATGGATATTAATTATCCATTGCAGCTTCCAGCTGCATCTATTGTTATATGCTTTTACCGAGAAGATCATTCTGCTTTACTTCGAACCATCCATTCCATTCTTGACCGAACACCTTCCCACCTCCTTCGTGAAATCTTGCTGATTGATGATACAAATAATGGTAAGCACTAAGGACTTTTATCTTTATTGTGTACTTCTTGGTGTCAGGGCCGTCTTAACAGCATTATGGGCCTCTGGGCAAGCCAGTGTGCTGGGGCCCCTATGTCAACCACTCACAGGAATAAAAAGTAAATGGTCAATAATATTAAACATCTATTTATTTTATTGGCACTTCAACAAAACTGTTGACAAAACATTAAAAGCATGCTGTAGAGCAGCAACTAATCAACATGATAAACATTTGAACAATACACAAGGCTGGAAAAACACACTTTTACTCGGTAAGCTACACAGATTAGATGGCACAGTATGAAATTACATATGTACTATGAACTATTTATTACAGTATAACAAGCATTTGTGGCATTTCTTTGCAGAGAATTGATTTATTTTTGGCTTGAAGTCAATGGTCTTCAGGATGTCTTTTTCCATGCACATAAGTGAAAGCCAGTTCAAACGATGCTGCACCATTGTGCTACGAAGCAGAATTTTTGTTATAAGTTTGTCTTATAAAAAAGAATGTTTTCCTGTACAATTGGTCACTGTGATGCATATGAACACTCGGAGTCCAATGTCAACATTCAGGAATACAGATTTCAAATTGTCCAAAATTATATTTCTGCACAGTGCATGGGAGAGTGACAAATTTCACAAAGAGCCATGTAGTGCTCGAGATGCTCACATTCATTTAAAAGGTAATCATAATTCAGGTCTTTGTGATACATATTAGCCAGATGTTCACACTTTTTCTTTACTGCATAAGAAGCAATGTTTTCAATTCACTGAAGAAAGAAAACAGCTTTCCAATCTGTGAACAAGCCCCTGCACGTTCTGTCAGTTCAAAGATTAGTGTGTCCAGAATAGGGAGGAAAGTTTTCACCTTGAATTTTTTGGTTTTAATGAGAAGTACCTCTTCTACTGATCCATCATATCTACTAAAATGCACACTTCGTTTTCGTTCCCATTTCTTCCCATCACTGTAATTTGTATTTGAACACATACTCGTGGTTTTGAATTCATATTAACTAAATTTGTCTCTAGTTTCCTGGAGATAAGTTTTCATAGACTCAAGAAGATTCGAGGCAACAAGGATATTCACATCCTTTGATTGTAGGATCTTGTTTGTTTTGTTCATTCTTTCTACCATGTCATTCCAAAGAATTGTGAGAAAAATTGTTTCCAGGTTTTTCAATTTTGTGCTCAATCCTTCTGCCTCTCGCCTTGTATTCACTTGCTGTTCATTGTCTGCTGATAGAGAATCCAATGCATGTTTTATTTTTTCAAAATCCCCATACAGAGCATGAACAGCATCAAATGTGCTGACCATTTGGTTTCTGCTCTTTCGGTCTTCGTGATGGATTTGTTCGTTTGCAGCCGTCTCCTTCTTTTTTGGCAAAGAATGAGACTGCTGCTTTCCAAAGGGATCCCTAGGTTGTGGATGCTTAGTTGGTTATGCCGGGGTGCATCATGTTTTGTGTCCGGTTGTGGCTCTTCGCCGTTATTTGCGCCTCACGGCTTCTGTGTCCGGGACACTCTTTGGGTTGATCCGGTTTCCCTTCTTCCCTGTTCGCGGGTGCGGGTCTCCCAGGTCGTCCGCAGTTATTAAGGCTAGCCAGCCTGTGGTCTATCCCCGTGCCCATGACGTTTGTAAGTTCGCTGCTCTTGCTGCTGTCTTTGGCACATGTCGTAGGCTGACATTAGGGCGCGGGGCTTTTGGTAGTCGAACAGGGTCCTGGCTGCTCGTTACCTTGTGAATGTTCCTGAGCCTAGTCGGGCCTGTGTCGCTTTGGGTCGGCGGTTGCAGCCAATTGTCTCGACTTAGAGTTGAGGAGTGAGCAGCGACCGCCTCCCAGGTAAGTCCCTAAGTTTTTCCTCTGCGGGTAATTAGCTCCGGGGAGCCGAAGGGGCTCCCTCCCAGAAAACCAGTGTTGAATGTAATGAGACTCCATTTTCTGGGTGAGACCCGGAGGCTCCCCGGCATCCCTCCATCCCTCTAGTTGGCGGTTTTTCGCATGTTTTGACATCCAGCTTAAGAACTAAAGGGTGGATAGCCGGCGGTGGGGTTTGGGGTTCCCCCTTCCCCCTCCCAGGGAGGGAGGAGCTGCCCAGACAGCGGCGCGGCGACGTATGACGTCATGATCGTTTGCTCGTTTCATTGAGGGGAGTTCTATCCACTTGTTTGGCTTTTGGTAGCAATATTTTCACCAGAATAGGGGTTTGTTTTGGGATGCTTACCTTTCTGGGTGCCTGACCAGGTCGATGGCAGACAGAATGCTTCTAACCACACGGAGGTTTCTATAGGGCCACTGCTTCCCTTACCTCTTCTGAACAAGGCACTACGGGCTCACCATAGTCCGTGTTATCGGGAACTCTTTGTTTCAGGTAGCGAATCTTTAACAACAACAACAACCTCTTCTGAGGGGGGGGCCAGGTTCTGGCTCATGGTCCCCGGTAGGCCCATAGAACTCCATACACATAACTGGTGCCAAAGTCTGCCATTAGCATATCAGCCTAGTAAGCTCCGGGGAGCCTCTGGGTCTCGCCCAGAAAATGGCGTTTCATTACATTCAACGCTGTTTTTTTTTTTTACACATTTTAATGTCATCAGATTATTTTTTTCTTACATTGCACTCATTCACTTTTCCCACAAAATTTTTTGTTTTTTATTTTGTATCAAATGTAAAGCTTTAATTGTTATAAGAGCTAAGATTTATTTTGTGGCTGTTACTGCATTCCTGTTTAAAAAGTTCCTTCACTTATTAATTTTTACAGAGAATTATCATGCTGAAGTATTAGATGAGATAGCAGGAATTAGCAAGAAAATAAGTGTGCTCCAAACACCCCAGAGGGAAGGCCTAATCCGAGCTCGTGTTTTTGGTGCAAGACATGCTTCTGGTGAGGTAAACATGTAGTCCTGTTCTTTGTCGTTGTTTCAGTAGTGTATCATGTGCCGTGTTGTACTCCTGCTATGTCAAGTAATTTTTACTTCATTTAGTTGCATCCTCTTATTTTTAAACTATAAGAATTTAGATATTCTGGTTTGCATAAATTTTTTCCATCAAGATAGTTTGAAGTTATCAATTTTTTAATGTTTAAACCTCATGTTGGAAATTATTTAAAATTTAACATCATTTCTTCACCTACAGCTGTTTGTCAGTATAAGATGATCCTTCGTAATGAAATATCATCTATGAACTTTGCAGGTACTTGTGTTCCTGGACAGCCATGTTGAGGTAAATGTGGGGTGGCTGGAGCCACTGTTGGCACGAGTGTCCGAAAACCGCAACCATGTGGTCACACCAATCATTGATGTTATTTCTCCTGACACTTTTCAAGTACGTTTCATTAATACAAAAATTTCAGATATATTGTACACACCAGCCTTGGTGCCATAGGATAATTTTTTTGTCTAATGACTAGTTTCCTGGCAGTTGCAAAGATTTGAAAATATATACATTTTCTGAATCATCACAGGAGTGTTGCTTACAAAAATACTGGTATGACCATAACCATAATCTACATTCTCAAAACATCTCGGAACCATTTAGAACTGTAATTAACATAACTCTAAATCCATTCAGGGAAAACCATCACATCTATAACTTGCAATACTGTACTGTAAACTCAATTCTATTTCATTCAAAATTAGAAAAATTCAAGAAATACAAAGTTAGTTAATACAAAAACAGCTAAGTAATTGAGTGTTTGAAAATGTCGAATGCCATTCACTTCTTGTTAAATTAATTAAGGCTGTCTCATTTGGGCAGGAAGATTTCTGCAGTTTCCCTTTTTTTTTTATTCCTATGTTTTCTGTGTTTCATGTATGTACATACTATAGACATCTTTATTATCAATTCATTCAGGCCATTTTAATATAAATAATAAAGCAAGTTAATTTAAAAAGAATGTATATACAGTATAAATTTATTTATTATGTACCAAACATGTTCAGTGGATTCCTACCTCTAAAAACCCAGTTTGAAAAATAAATAAGATGTAATGGAGGGATTCCAATTTGATTATGGTCAGATATAACAGAAATTGTATTTGGATAGTTGAAAAAATGTTTTAATATATTTTATGGTTCTCATGAACAAAATATTAAATGTGTTAAAGTGTGTGACTGACCACATAGCCCTAAATATATACAGTATATAGCATCAGTATCAATGGATATACTGTACTTAGGAAACGGGTTGAAACATTAAAAGGTATCCACTGTAAAATGAAATGGTCTGGATAAAATTAGATTTTTTGGTTTTCAACAACTTGGTCCATGTTTAAAAATTGTAAGAAAAAATATTTTTTGATTGTCAAATGTAAAGGAATATTTGTAATTGTTTCCTCTGTGATTTTCGGTTAAATGTATACTGGTAGTTTTTAAACTGTAGAATGACATCAGGTAGATGATATTTTTTAATATAGTATTATAGGTATAAAATTAGTGAACGGAAATTAGTACAGGTACTGCAGAAATCCATGCAAATCTCATTAAACAGGGTCATTGTGCAAATTAACCCACCTACCCAAACATACACACATACATGCACATTCACAGTCATACACACTGCCACACACAGCCATACACACACCCACACCCCACATTTTGCTCACTACTGCACCCCACACAAATATTTTACATTCAAAACTTATATAGAACATTTTATCTAAATATTTTGGTAGTTAAACAACCATGAAAAGATACTCTAGTATTTATCCATGAAACTTAATAATTAATCTTTTGCGAAGAAAATCTGTTTTGAGTAAAGTCAGCTTGAAGGTATTAAATCTCAAACATTACTTTGCAAGACATTTTCTGCATAATCATACAAATTAATTTCTTTATTTTTCAGTACACAGCATCTCCTCTGGTTCGTGGTGGCTTTAACTGGGGTCTTCATTTCAAGTGGGATACAATCCCGTCTATATATTTTGCTGACAAAAGTAATTTTGTCAAACCTATTAAGTAAGTTTTAAAAATACCATTAGTATTGTTAGACAGGAATTCACATTTATTTGAATTTACTTTGTTTTCAAAATGCACCATCTTTACAGTTTGCATGAGTGTGACTGAGAAGAAAACTTCTACGCAATTTCCTTATCATATAATTAAATTAAATGTTTCCCCAGGCCCTTTAGATCACTAGGATTAACCCTTGAGCTGCTTAAATATTTTGAGACAATTTTTTTTCCAAATGTGCCACCCAAATATTAATTGCTGAGATTGCTCCATACTTTAGTTATGTCAGTCATCAGTCACAGGAGTTCCGATTAGCATCCTGGGGACCCGAGCAAGAACTTGGCCCTCTCACAGAGGTGCAGAGAGCAAATGACATTCCACAATTTCACCGGGAAAGCATCCAGAAAGTCAGCAAAGCTTTACAGACAACTGTTCGGTTCACAAAAATCAAAGCCACAACTCTCCCAAACAATTAAAACAAAAAAATAACTCGCCCAAAACTAGCTTGAAAATGTTAGTAGCAATCACTGCTATCAGGTGGCCTGGAACTCGGTCCTCCACTAACCTGCCAGCCAGTTTTCTTGCTGATGTGTTGCCTAGTGCATCACTGTAGTACTCCATTGTTGCCATCTTTCTTAGTGGGGTCCCAATTCTTCTAAGCTAAGTGTCCCTTCAGGACAAATTCTAGGACTTGTCCTGTAGGAGTCATTTGCCTGTGTATGCTTCCAATATAGTATTAGCTTCACAAGCATGCTTTCTATCTAGTTTTATTGTGTGCACTTGGCTTTTTGCTCTCTGAACTACATGCATCTAATGTTTACTTCCCCTGAATGTTCGTCTAGCGTTCTCCTTGTACTGGCAGAGTGACTTCTCTGATGTGATTGGGAATTTGCCCTTTTGAGGGCTGACCAAGGAAATGGAGTGTGTTACCTTAGGTATTTGAAGGGTTGTTTGACTCCTCTGTTTAGACCCATGGTTGAGACCACTCAAATCTGTTATGTTGGGGTGTACTTAAGGCCCACATGCTTCGTTAATAAAGCATGCCACAGTTACCATTTGCAGCTCTTAATACATTTGGTTCTTTTTGGTTTTTGTTTCTTTTGGCGAGTATCCCCAGTGCCTGGGAGCACCTGTCTGGCATATTACCAAGGTTTCCCAAACCTGGAAGCCTTGGTATTCCTCCATGAGTCTGACAAGGTCAATAATAAATAAAGGACAGCCAATCAAGCTCACTCTCAGCAGTTGCAGGTTTTCAAGGTGTTAGTTAACTTTGCTACAGGGTAACAATAATTCTTTCTGCCTATGCTATGCTGTCTGTTGGGTTGGCAATTCTTACAACCTGTGAGATTTGTTCCCTACAGATTCTGATTCACTCTAATTCTGTTTCTGAGGTGGAAGTGTATCAAACAATTGCCGCTTTATGGACTCAGTTTGCCTGGGTTCAGCATTCATGGCTTAGTGTTCAGATAGATCCCAGAATTGCCTTTTATGATAAGGACCCAGAATTGGAGGTGCTGGTAATCTCCACCTTGGCTCTGAAAATAAGACTCGCGTCCCTACCAAAACGAAAAAGACCACCACCTACTCACTTACTGCTCCTCCTCCTGTTTTTCCAGCTTGCCGTGTTGAATGACGACAATGACGAGCAGGAGTAATCTCGGCGGGGTAGTTATGATCGTTCGTCCACGCGGAGTAACTGCTCTCCTCCGCCTCTGTTTGTCTAACGTATCGACATAACGCCATACTGTCGGGCTGCTAGAGAGTCCATAGTGAGATTTAACTTGCAAAGCAGGATTAAAACGCAAAACCGAGGGGAGTGAGGGTGTGTGTGTGTGTGTCTTGTGTACTATATATCAGTAGTACTGTTGAGCCTCCTCTTCCATTCCCTTTAGTTATGGTATGCCATGCTTCTGTTTGTTCCCCCACCTTCCATGCTTCCAGCTCCAGAGCATCTGAGGGTTTCCAAGTCAGGTAGGATTATGCTCAGAAAGTTCCAGGGGGTTGCCCTTTCCCTCTCAAGCATGGAGGCAGCAGAGTCCTCTAGTTTTGCCAAGGTTATGGAGTTTCCCTATTCACACCGCAGGCTTCCTCCATGCCTTCTCCTTGGGAGGATGCCTTTCTTTTCGATAAGCACCTTCAAAGGATAACTGATCAACTGGGCTGTAACTCAAACATCAGGCTGTGAGCAACCATGTCACACAGTCTGGAAGACCAGACCACCAACCAGGAGGCCTAGTCATAAACTGGACTGCAGGGACATTGATCCTTTGAATCATAGACAAGTATTCAACAGTGGTTGAATACCTGTCGTTGAATATAGGTTGAGTGGAACCGGTACTAATCGAGGTGGCACTCTTAGACTAGGATTAGCATCTCGGTGGTGGATAAGCTTTTGGGTTGCAGAGATTTGAAAGGTTTGGAACTTGCTCAGAGAAAATTGATACAGTACTGCAAACTAACGAGTCAATCAAAGGGTGTTTAGAAAGTGGTATTGTGACAGTAATATGAAAAACATCTTTTTAAGCATATCATTCAGCTGTTCCTATTCCTTCCTCTGTGGGCCAGCTTCCATGTATGCACATGTTCTTTGCTACATGAAGTGTGTGTGGTGGCTCGGGTCAGGAAACCAAGCTGTGTGCAGAGATGTTGCTTGGTGAGATTTGTGAAGGTACCTAGACAGGCCAGTTGGTAATTAAAGATACAGCAATTTCTCCTGTAGCTGTAAACACTTAGGGGGAGGGGGGGTTCCTGGATGGGAAAGGGTATGGGGGGTGTTAAGGTGAGTCGCCAAAAACGGACCTTAGGCTTTAAGAGGCGGCTAGCATCCTGTCACTTGTGATGCCAAGGTAGGGTTTGGAAGGGCTTTCAGTTTTATGAATAAACCTTCATCTGTTACTCTGGATTGGATTAAATGTTCTCCAGTGGCTCCCTAACACCTATTATGGTCCTGCAGGTACTACTTGAAATGATCTCTCTCTTGCCGGTGTTAGTTTTCATTCTGCCTGATTGTTCACAATCCTATCCTGTGAACATAGCACATCTTAGGAAGTACTGTAATCAAATTATTTGATCAGGAAGCTGCTTTTCATATAACCTAATTTTTTTATAAAAAAATTTATACATTTTGATTTTCATTAATCTTAATTTTGGTTTTCTTCCTCATTGTAGATCCCCTACCATGGCTGGAGGTCTTTTTGCCATGAATCGCAACTATTTTAAGGAACTTGGTGAATATGATGAAGGAATGGATGTGTGGGGTGGAGAGAATCTTGAAATGTCATTTAGGGTGAGTATCTCTCAATGAACAATATGTTTTAAATAATTCTCTAGATTGTATGAAGTGGGCTGATTTTTTTTTATTGTTCAAAAAATATCTAAATTAAAATGTGTGGGAATTGAGCTGATTTTCCTTCTTTTCATTTAAGATATGGATGTGTGGCGGTGAGCTTGAAATCATCCCTTGTTCTCGAGTAGGGCATATTTTCCGGCGCCGGCGACCATATGGTGGACCAGGAGGACAGGACTCCCTTTTGCGAAATTCATTGAGAGTGGCTCATGTTTGGATGGATGAGTATAAGGTAGGGATGACTTGCATGAACATATTTGTTATTACCTCAAGCTTAGTATGTCAACATCCTCAGAACACTGTGGTCACATTAGGCAATGGATGACTTCCCTTGCCCACCTGGGATAAGAACAATTTCAAATTTTCTCTTATCTCAAAAGGGCATGAAGCTTGTGGAGATCAGATCAACTGCACATCTTGGACAAGTCACCTGCTATAGAATACAGAAGTTTTACATAAGCTCAAGCTCCCTTGGAAAGATGGTTTGACAGTAGCGCATCACCAAGCAATCTTGTGAGCCATTTCATGATAAACTCTTGTGATATTATGATTTGTGGATTTCTGAAGGGTCTGAGCTTTGTGTGTGGTATTCATGTACCTCTCGTGTGTGTGTGTGTGTGTGTGTGTGTGTGTGTGTGTGTGTGTGTGTGTGTGGTTCCTGCATCCATATTAGACATCTCAAATTGTGAGGCAGCTGTCTACTCCAGTACTACACACGCACATTAGGGAGATGTTTAGCAGAGGTGTGTTTGGTTATGAACCTTTCCCAGATATTTAAATCCTGTATCTTTCTCATTGTCATACAGAACTCTCCCAAGAGGCAGATGATCCTTGATTTGTCGTGGGTAAATCTTACATCCCATGATCACTATGCCTGTGATTTACCAGGTGGTTTCGAGCCATTCATAAGATATTTCACTGGACCTCCAGAATGCATATTAGCAGGATTCAATCCATAAGAGTTTCAGGGATTGGTTGGGGTTTAAATTCTGTTACAGCTTTTTAATTTTGGGATCTCTTTGAGTTAAATTTTGCTCCTAGGATATTGTCCCGGATTTATTGGCTACGATGTAGCTATTCAGTTTATTTCCACCTTTCCATACATTTTGGATTCAAATTAGTCATTCTATAATTTTTTTTTTCCTAGGCACAAAAATTAAGAACTTCATGTTAAGGGTTAATGTTATTAATAACTGTTTCTTAGAAAATACTTTCCATCATTTTTAGAAAAATGATTTCTCTATTGAAAGTTAGTAAATGTAATGAAAATAAATACTGGCTTGCATTCATATAAGAGAATTTAAATTAGTTTATTAATGGGTGCCTTTATTTCTGTCTTCATTGTAGTACGTAGTTATATAAATTTGTCCTAGGTAATTTTTATTTCACTAAAATATAACCTAATATTTTTTCTCCTTAGGAGCACTTCTTTAAAATTCGTCCAGGAGCAGAGCGAGTGGAGTATGGTAATGTTTCAGAGAGAATAAAGCTTCGGAAAGATCTACGGTGTAAGCCTTTTTCGTGGTATCTAAGCACTGTATACCCAGAGCTCGGTTCCCCAGGAGAAGAAAGCAAAGGTAGAAAGAATGGCAAAGACCAACCAATGCTTGGTGTCAGACAGTTTCAGCCATGGAATAAACGAACTAGGAATTATATACATAAATGGCAGGTCAGTAACAAATTATCATATCTACTAAGAATTGGAAAGTTATTTTTATTATCTAGTCATTTTTTAATTCTTCCTTCCTTTGATAGTCATCTCTTGTGATGAATTAATATAAAATTTCCCCTAAATTCTATATTATTTTCAGGGAATTCTGTATAATTTTTTCTTATTAGTTGTTGGATTGGGTTTAAGCATTTTTGTCTCCTCACTTTTGGGTTTCTCTCGGTTTAAGGATTTCTTTTCCAAGGCATATTTTCTTGGATCTGACCCCTGGCTGTTGGGTGAGCGAGCTTCGTGACTTTTGTGAAATACCTTGAATTTTGTTCAATCATGTTTGTTAATCCGTGGTTGCCTTTCAGCAAGGTTGTTTACTTATTGAAGCTTGGCTTGTCCAGCTGAGGTTGCTTTGTACACATTGCCCTATGGCTGCTGTGTGAGCCTATTTGTACTCGTGCTGTTCAAGTTGATAATCATAAATTTGCAAGTTTGATGGCTTCTTTGTCAATATGGCCACTGCTAATATTTGTGTTTGGCACTTATGGTAATCCAGTAGGATGTTGGCTTCCTGCTGCTTGGTGTATGTTCCAAGGTCTCACTGTATCTGTGTGGTGTTTGGTGTATGTTCCAAGGTCTCACTGTATCTGTATGGTGTTTGGTCTTTTAATAAGCAGCTGATGCTCCTTTGCCTTTAAACCTTACTCTTCTGCTGTCATCTCATATGAGTAAGCCCTTTCTTCCTTTTCTGCTGGTATTAATATCATGATCCTTTCAGAAAGCTGTCTCCTCTGCTGATATTTTTAAGTGGAACTTATTAAACCATAACAAAATAAGCCATGGTTAGATCTGAGGTTTAAGCATTTTGAATCAATACATACAAAATTCACCCTGCAGCATAGTCTTAGATGTGTATTAAATAGGTATTTGTAAAAGTGCAGTACTACACAATTTTATCTTTTCAACAGTAATTTTATTCACATACCTTAGCCACACAGATTTATATTATTTCAGCTTCTCCTTGATTCATTTACCTCTTCCATGGATATACTGTATCTCTTGGTAGTCTTTATTTTACTGTTTTCACACAAAAAAAATCAATAATTAATACCCATCCCACACAAATGAAAGGGAAAGAGAGATGACAGTTCAGTTCAGTCCATCCTTGGGTATTAATTTTTAGGCATGTGACATTCCATGCAAAATCAATAATGTTTAATTTGTACTTTCACAAATTTCTCTCATACTTGCCTGTAATACAGTATTCTCGTGAATTTCTCTGGCAACTGTACTTTCATTTTTCAAGTTTACAATACAGGAGTTACAGCACAGATCTGATAAATTATTTTACTTATGAAATTAATGCAAATTATTTTTTTAGATACGCTTAACTGGGAGCAACCTGTGTGTGGAATCGGAGGAAGATGTTTCAAAAAAAGGATCAAAACTAGTGTTATCTAAATGCTCTGAATGGAACCGCCAAATCTTCTATCAGACAGATCGTAATGAGCTTGTTCTCGCGCAACTGCTATGCCTCGAAGCTTCAGAACATCGACCACGGATGGGGAAATGTCATGAGATGGGAGCCTCTCAGGAATGGAGGATCAATAACCAGGTGAGTGTCACAAGATTGGTACCTGTCATGAAGACTAATAACCAGACAAGGTGTTATCCTGATTGTCTATTTCTGCCAAGCAAGCTATACTCTACTTTTAACAGGATATTATGTTCACTTAAAGAAAAAAAACTAGTGTTTAAAATTTGTGCAGGTCACAATTTTTATTGCTGAATAAGAGAATGTTTCCCCTCTCTACAGAATGTAGGCTTTTATTCAAATTGGGGCTCCGACCTTAGCCTTCCTTGCTCCATTGTCATTAAGGGGTTCCAGGGCTTGCCAATAAATCACCTTTTGACATTTAACTTATCCTAAAGTCTAAAGGTTGTTTTTCAAAGGCTCTGTTTCTGTTGACATTCGCCTCTGGTGATTGGGTTGGTGAGCTTCATGCTCTCCTCTGGCGCAGGGGTTTCTGCTCTTTCGGTGCTGGTAGTCGGTTTGTTCGGTTGTAGCCGTCTCCTTCTTTTCTGGTGAAGAATGAGACGGTGGGCTTCCAGTGGGGCCCTTGGGTTATTGATGCTTGGTTGGTCAGGCCAGGGGCGCATCATGTGTTGTGTCCGGTTGCGGCTTTACACCATTACCTGTGCGCCTCGGCTTCTGTGGCCGGGGACGCGCTTTGGGTTGATCCGATTTCCCTTGTTCCCGGTTACAGGGCTCGGGTCTCTCATGTCGTCAGCAAGGTTATTAGGTCTGGCCAGCCTGCGGTCTATCCTCATGCCCATGACATTCGTAAGCATGCTGCTTTGGCTGCCATGTTTGGCAACATGTTTTGGGCTGACATTCGGGCACAGGAGTTTTGGATGTCTAACAGAGTCCTGGGTGCCTGTTATTTGGTAAATGTACCTGGTCCCAGTCGTTCGTGTGTGGCTTTGGGTCGCAGGTTGCAGTTATTTGTCTCGCCTTGGAGGTGATGTGTGCGTTGCGGCCGCCTCCTGGGTAAATCCCTCTGTTACTTGGTTTTGGTTATATAGCTCCAGGAAGCTGAGGGGGGGGGGTAGGCTTCCCCACAGAAAACCAGCATTGAATGTAATGAAATGCCATCATCTGGATGAGCCCCAGAGGCTCCCGGGCTCCTTCCATTCCTCTGGTCGGCGGTTTCGTTTGATGCTCAGCCTCCGAACTGAGGTGTGAGTAGCTGGCGCGGGGTTCCGGGAAAGGGAGGGCTGCGTGGACAAGCGGCAGTGAATGACATTTGCTGGTTTTCTTATGTTTTTTGGGGGAATTCTGTCTGTTTGGTCTTCAGTTGCAATTTCTTACCAAGTGGGGCTTGTTTTGTTATGCCTACCTTTCTGGGTACTTAACCCCGGTCGATGGCAGACAATGAATACTCCCAACCTCAAAGGGGTTTCCATAGGTCATTGATCCCTGTGCGCCTCTCTGAGGGGGGCCAGGTTCTGGCCTGTGATCCCCGCTAAGCAGAACTCCATTGATTGATGCCCCAGACTAATAGCGTATATCACACATAGAAATCACAATAGTGTGATGCATCAAGTGAACACAGATCCTCTCGAACGTAGGTTCGAACCCTCGTCACATCCCTTGTGGATTTGTTCATAGCGTATATCAGTCCGATAGCTCCAGGGAGCTTCTGTGGCTCGCCCAGAAAATGACGTTTCATTACTGTACATTCAACGTTTTTCTTTTTCTTGTATTTCTTATGCTGCAACAAATAAATTACACTTTTGAGACAGATTTTGATTATGATGAAAATGTTAAGGAAGTGATAAGTAAAATAATTATCTCATCATACCATTAAGAAATGTCATACTTGATTTTCACTGGATATCAATAATGCCAAGTGTACTTTCAGATGGGTATAGCTCTGTACAACATAGCTGTTGGGTTGTGCTTATCTGCTCAGGAAGAGAAGTTGGGAGCATCTGTGAACATGGCAATGTGCTCTACACCCAAGTTGGCAACGTGGGACCTTGTTGACATTTTGTAGAACTGCTCAAGGAGACTCCACAGGTCTTAAATGGCTTTGGATTCCTTAAGGTTGTATTTTTTTTTTAGTGCTCTTAGTAGCGTATCTTTTTTAAGCCAAACTTGAGTGTTTTAATTTTGCTAAGAATTTGTAATAATACTCACGTCAATTGCTGACCTTTACAAAAATGAAGGTTATCCTGAAATGTTTATTATAAAAGTTAAATTTATTAACTGGAAGATACTGTGTATCAAAAATGACATTATATTTTTGTTTAAAGATTTTTATAAGTTAAATTTACTTGCCTTTTCTTAAATACCAAGTTCAAGTTATCTTTTATAACAGCAGTAATGAGACCAAGTAGAGCAACTCCTATCAGACACACGGTTGCAACTATTTTTTTCTATTTATAATTAATTTGATATTGTTCATAACTTGTTACCTAACACATTTTTGTCCAGTTACTTTGTTTGTGGAATACAGTAGTCTGAAAATGGTAAATATCCTTTTAATACAGTACATTAAGACCCTACTAGCACTAGGGTTTTGAGCTGTGTATCTCTTGGAGAAGTACTGTATGAGCTCAGTTATCCGAAGCCCACTTTTACAGATCTTTGTGTTATCTGACAGTTTTTCAGAAATGCTGGTGGAAATTTAGAAAGACTGGATGTGGTTGAATGGCTAGAAAGAGATGCTAACAACCCAGGATATGGTGTGATGTGCGGAGAAGAGTTTCTCCGGTCTGTTACTGGTGAGGTGGATGAAGAGCAAGACGAAGATGGCAATGAAGAACCAACACCACAGACAACAAAATACAGTTTACTAATGTCTTGTGTTGATATGCTAATTAATGTTTCCTCCAACTGTGCTAATCCAGAAATTGGAAACGTGTATTTTTGGAGGACCAAGGACCTTCAACCAGTGAAGCCTCACAAGCAAGCCAAGGGCTTTCAACCAGTGAGGCTTCAGCAGCTTGGGAGTCAAAACTAACTTTGCAAAGTTAATGAACTGTACAGCATTTTTAAGTGTTAATTTTAGTGTTGTGTTAGGTTAGGTTACGTAAATTTTCAAGAATTCTTAACTTCAAGATGTGTAGCATCAATCAAGAAGACAAACTACAACAAAGTAAGCTGAACTTTCTGTTTAAAATTAATTACAGTACTGTATTGGAATATTATATAATTATTGTCTGTGTGTGACAGTTCAAATTATGTTGTTTGTGGTACAAAAATGGTGAATATGTTAATGTTTGGACTTCTTCGGTATGAATTCTGCTTATCCGCATGTCTGGCTTATCCAGCAGGGGGTCCTTTCCATGTAATTCAGATAAGCGAGCTTATACAGTAGTTACTGGCATCTGTTAAATTACTAACCCAAAAAAGGCTGTTCTATTTTGTCTTGTATAAGGAGTGTATTTGGCCAGTCTTACATTTGTTTCATCTTAACTAACACAGTTCATAGATCATTTACACATACTGTAGTTAAATTGACGTTTAACTTTGTCCCTAGATTATAAGAAATTAACAGTACTGTACTTTAAAACTGGATGAGTTGCATAACTAAAGACTAATGCTCTATAAATCCTTTGAATACTGCAACTGCTTTGTAAAGGAGATAAATTCTAAGAAGTGAAGTTGAAGGAATATTAATTGAAGGCTCTTTTATAATATTATCAGACCACTGGGTAAAGCATTAGACATCACAACAATGGGAGTACTCAACTCTACTCAAATTGCTTAGACTGCATCAAAACCAAAAATAAATCGATAACAAAATGTTGACTAGAACAAGTTTTAAATTCATGCAACATTTTACTACAGATAATTTATACAGTATTTAATAAAATAAGTTGTTAGAAGTCATGTGTGGATGATCTGCTTCAGTTAAAATTGTATACTTTGTCAAATCTAAGTGAAGAAAGAAGTTTCTCATTATGCAGTTTAGTAGTTTCCTTCAGCAATAAAGTCCTAAATGTAATTCTTGTCCTTGTATACAAGTCACCAGATGCAAATCCACAGCAGTTTAAAGACCAACTAATGAATATCAAATGCTGTTTAGAAAACTTCACAAATCCAGCCCCAAACATCATCTTGATTGGTGACTTTGAGTTTATGGCACCTAAAATGGAAAGGTGTTGTAAGCACCATTATATCATGAGAATCCCAGAAAGCAATCCAAGTTATCAAGTCACATGCAAATGACATGGCTGCCACATCTTTGGGTTCCATTTTAGTATTCAAAATAAGTTGCTTAACCTGCAAAAGGTAAGCTTGAAGACTGAAATTGTAATTTAATGATGATTTCAGGTAAGAATTTTTAAACAAATTTCAAAAGCATTTGCCAATATCATGAACTTTTACACAGACATTCTTAAAATAGAGCACTGTATTCTCCAATTCCAAAATGTTCTGTTTTGTAATGCTCACATGGAAAGTTATGACTTGGGATTATTATTTAGTGCTTGACAGTCCTTTTCCCAGAAAAGAAGAGCCTCTTCGTGATGGCACTGGATGAAATGGGTATATTGAACTTGATAAACACGTTCTTCAGTGCTGGGCTGGGGTAAAGGTGCTAGTCGACCCAAATTATAAAACACTAGATATTTTTCTGCTGAGATTGTACACAACTGAACTAATTTAAACTATTTGGGAAATATATTCCTATATCAAATCAAAGACATTTTGTATTTGTAAATAACACAGTTTAACATGCAGTCCTTCTAGTTGTTCAAAATTAAAGTAAAATATTGTAGTAGCGAGGAACATCTGACTGCCAAGTATTGCTTTAAAATGGACCATCAGTCTCTCCATTTCTTTCCTGCCTGGAACAAAAGACATGGTCACGGTGCTCGTAATAGACAGAGTTCCAGGAATTTGGTTCTTTTGGAACTCGGTTCTGCCTACATTTGCCAATTTTTTGCAATATGGGTCACTCTCCTACATGCAGATATCAACACTAAAAATTCCCAAAGTAACCTCCATCTTGTAAAAACTAATCTAATTATAACATTAGCATAGAGCAAATTAAATGTAAATGATTCTGGTAGAACAAGTAGCATTATGATGACTGAAAGCCTCAAGCAGTAATGTTTGAACACTGTTGTGGAGAAATAACAGTATTTAAGAAATGGGGCTTCATGGTGCTTCTATCATAGTTTCCTCCAGTGAGGTATGAGGAGGCTTTGTTTTAGATTACCATGCTGTACTTTTTGTACTATTTTGGTGTACCATTCTGTACGCGCACACTGTCAGGGGTAGCAACTGAATACATTCCCAGACTCATGAGTTCGCTTTTCATATTGGTATTTATTTTGCTTAGTACTCTTCATGGACCATTGAATTTGATAATAAGTTGCCCTATACTAAAGTCACAATGCTCTACACAAAATACCTTATTTCCTCATGATGGTCTCTTTAGCTTTAGTATTGTGTTTGTCTTTGTACTAACGTCACATAAATGGTCAACTTTCATAAGTGAAGCTTGTCTAACTCGAACACTGGCTGAAGGCCACCATACTTTTGTCTTGAAGTCTAGGAGATAAAGTGCCTGATACTGTATTAGTAAAGGTTGTAAAGGTTTCATAAGAAAAATTTGCATCAAACTGATAGAGCAAGAAGTGGGGCATGTTTCATCCCACTTTTAAAAAAGCCTATACATTGCTTTTCTTCATCAGAGAAAGCTTTCTGGGGGAGCCCCTTATGGCTCCTTGAAGCTATCATTTTTGACGTAGGTATCCTCAGTTGCATCTTCATGTAGCTCCTACCTTGAGGTTACCTTGAGGTGCTTCTGGGGCTTAGCGTCCCCGCGGCCCGGTCGTCGACCAGGCCTTCTGGTTGCTGCACTGATCAACCAGGCTGTTGGACGCGGCTGCTCGCAGCCTGACGTATGAGTCACAGCCTGGTTGATCAGGTATCCTTTGGAGGTGCTTATCCAAAGTGGCAAAATGCATCTCATCTCAATGCATCTCAAATGGAGCTCAGTGGCAAATGCATCACAAGTGCAATTTTTAATAGATTTTTCAGGTACTCATTAAAGTGTTTAAACTCTTGAAGGCTGTTGTAAATTCTGAGATATCACATTCCTTCAAGAAAGGGAGTCTCCAGATGACATAAAGGATGTAAAGGAACTATAATGAAGTTCTGCAGTGTTTTTATTATTCGAAGACTTCCATTTAGCTGTCATGTATATAATCTTTGATACTTAAGTATGCATGTCTATGTGATGTGTATAATATTCTCTCAGGTTTCATTGAAACATTGTGATGTTATCATTATCAGTATTGAAATATCAGTGTAATGAATTTTTAATTGTACATAATGTATATTTATGATGGTGGAAATGGAGAGCTTTTTTACCATTAAGTACTTATTAGGTGTAAAATTGAATAGTCCTTTTAAACAGTAGTAATAAATGACAGCTTGTTAACTTTATGACTATAGAAAGGAATAAAAGTTAACCTTGTGTTAATTTATATAAGTTTTATGTAATGTAAAACAGAGGCAAATGATATTTGTTTTTGTATAGATATTATCATTGTTTCTGTCAAAATATTGTATAGTTGATAATAGTTGCCACTTAGAAATCAGCTGCGGTGGCATGTATTGGAATTTGAAATGTAAACAACTTCGAAAGGTAATATTCTGTACAGTAATATACATGTGCCAAATATATTAAATATAAATTAAGATATCTTAAAGGTATTCAATTTATCTACATTTTCAAACCTTGATAAAACTACAATTACAAAGAAAGCAAATACAGTCAGCCCTAACTCTGCACAGGTGCAAAAGACATATTTAATTAGGTATTAAATATATCAACATGATAAAATACAAAACAATGCGTATAACTTGCATAAATTTAGATTTAGGAAAAACGTGGGTAAATACTGGTTTGTTGATTTATGGAACAAATTACAAGGTAAAATAATAGAGATGGGATCATTTAACATTGTTTCAATCATAAGTTACACATATGGATGAGTTTGGGTGGATATAGATAGGAGCTGCCACACGAGCTGCTAGGTCTTCTGCTCTTTTCATAATTCTTGTGTTCTTAAGTGTACTGTTTGTGTTGTCATTTAGTATTTGACAACCACATACTATCTTTGTCACATTTGGATAATATGCTTGCATCATGGCATGTAAACATTCTTTAATGTATTATTTACTGTATTTGTAGCTGGAAAGTAGTGAGAGTATTAAGTAATAACATTCAGAAAGTGTTTTATTTAGACAGAAAATGGTCTTTTGGAGTTAAGGAATGCATTTGTACTTCCCAAATAGTTAACATCACATGATACAAATTTCTTCTGCACAAAAATTTACAAGAATGCATTCGTTGTGCAGATTAAGGGCTGACTTTACGTGTGTGTATCAGCATGCATGTGTTTCGTATACAATATATTCATAAGCATATACTGTATATTGATGAAAAACATTGTTCTGAATGCAGATCAGTGGTGACTGCTCCACTTATGTGATAGCCAAATGATCTTGTAGAATTCTTTGCCAAACATTTGTTTAGCATTTCTCAAGTCCTTTGGTGTTAAGGCTTAAGAAATGCCTTAGAGATTCTACAAAGGTCAACTCTTCACGAAAGAGTAATTCCCAGCAGAAATAAGGTATCATATATACTGTACAGTATTTATTTAAGTGATCATTATGAATTCACATTTTACATACAGTTTTTTGCAATTGCATGTACCAAAATCTATGTTTTCATTTATATAATTTTACAATAATAAATTTCCTCTTAATGATGCATTTTATTTAAAAGATGAGACGGGGTTCCTGTTTGGACGGTGGAAGGAGCAGCTACCAGCTACATCCAGTACTTGTAAAGGATTTTGTCAGAGCTGAGGTGAGGCTTCAACACCTAGCATGGAAGCCTAGAGGGCATTATGAAAGAGGAAAATAATTTATTACTGAGAGTAGAGAGAAAGTAGATAAGGAATGCAGTGTGTTTGCAGTAAACAAAGTTGTACTAGAAGGAAAGTATTTCAATCTTAATTTTTTTACAGTCCTTTCATTTGCTTCCATGAATACCACCTCCCTACCTATGCCTGCTCAACCTTCACCTTCTACTCATTACATTACACTGGTGCATTCTACTACACCTTCTACTCATTACATTACACTAATATCATTACACTGGTGCTTCTTTTTGTGTAGTTTTGGCCAAGATCAACCAACCTCCACACTCCTGTGCCCCCTCAAACAATTGAAGAGACAACTGAATACACCAGCTCCATAAATGAGTAACAAATCTAGATCATCAAATACCAAGAGGATGAAAACTAATTCCTCCACATCCCCACACCCCTAAAAAAAAAAAAAGGGAAAGTCCAACATTGAAGGCAATGAAACTCCCCTTTCTGGATAACATCTTAGTAATTATATGTAAATATAACTCCTCGCACTGCTCTCATCTATGGACAATATTTTTTTCCTGGACAGGTCCCTTGGCTTCCCCACCATGGCACTTCTCGCCCGGTAACCCTTCCTGTATTTTATTCTCATATAAAATCAAGCAAATAAATGTGAAAAGTAAATTCAAATAATGTAAGTTCAAATAATGTGAAAGTAAAGATGAAACTTACCAGTAATGGAAGTATCCTCAATGATAGGACTCGGGTGACACAAGAATTATTGCTACAGAGACATTCATGCTTACATAACATTTTGGATGACAGGTTGAATAAATTGGTGAGTAATATTATGAGAAGAGCAGAGTGGTGAACATAGTATCTTACTTTTTAATGTATGTCAACTGGCTCAGAATTTTTTCTAGATGTAATAGATACATAGGTGAATCATTGCAATAGATGACTGCAGAATGAAAGGTGGAACCCAAGAGCTCAAGGTTTGAATCCTTCTGGGGTGTGGAGTTTTCAGTTATATATATATTAGTATATTTTGGTAGCAGTCTTTCTTGTAAACATATGTTGTTGAATATAACCGAAAGGGTAAGATTAATAATTCTAATACGAATCTTCTCAATATTTCTTACGTTTTTCTTCACTGTCGAGGGTAATTGAAAAATTTACTCTCCAAGATTCATTCTTTACATTTTTATTTTTGGTCTGACGCCTGAACGCATTTCGTAAGCTTCTTACATTTTCAAAGACTAGTTTACACATAACATACATCATACTTATACTCATTTTGGGTGAGGTGATATGGCACAAAAGTTTTGGGTGAGGTGACAGAACACGAATCAATGGGTATAAATTGGTTTTAAGCAGGTACCTGATGTCAGATGTCTGCAGTAACTGAAGGAGGCATTCGAGCAGAATTCTGTGTTAAGTTTTACTTACGAGATCGAGAATGATGGGAAGCTGCCCTTTCTAAATGTAACAGTCATGGAAAAGAACGGAGGTTTCCACACTGCAGTCTACACTAAGGAAGGAAACATAGGAATGTGCCTCAATGCCAATAGTGACGGCCCAGACAGGTACAAGAGGAGTGTTGTCAGCGATTACATTGACCGTGCTCTCAGCCACAGCTCAGGATGGAAGCAAGTCGATGAAGAACTCTGTAGGGTAAGGCAAGTCCTAATCAACAACGGCTTCTCTAACGGTTATGTTGAAGACGTCATAAAAAGAAAGGTGAAACGCCATACAACCTATGAAGAGTCAACTAACAAAACACATGTACCCCCTATTAGACTGTTTTACAAGAACTTCTCGACAGCTCATAAAACGGAGGAAAGGGTCCTGAAAGATATTGTTGATAGGAACGTTATCCCTACAGACAAAAAACAGAAAATGCTATTGACGATAGAGTATATACTCTATCGTCAAAGAACTCAGTATATAGGCAAGACAACAACGTCTCTTTCCAGGCGATTAACAATGCATAAGCAACAGGGCTCCATAAAGGAACACACAATCTCCTCTCACAACCAGACCATCACCAGAGAAGTCTTAACAGACAACACAGAAATCATCGATAGGTACAGCGATAGCAGGTGGCTCGACATCTGCGAGGCACTATACATCAAAAAGTCAACACCAGCAATCAACAGCCAATTAATGCACAACTATATTCTACCCACTTCAAGACTCTGAACCAATATAGAAGCATCAAGAGGAAGTATGAGCCAATAGGCCCTCTGCAGTTTACAAGAAAGACTTCTATCAAAGTATACTAATATATCTATATATATATCTATATATATATATATATATATATATATATATATATATATATATATATATATATATATATATATATATATATATATATATACATATATATAATATAATTGGCGATTGGAGAAAGCGCCAAGCCATTACAACTTTATAGCACTTGGAAGGGGGTCGGGATAAGGATTTGGGATGGGACAGTGGGAAGGAGTGGCTACAGGAGCTAAACCTCGCGTCCATGGAGGACAGAGGAGTAAGAGGACACATGATCACCACCTACAAAATTCTCAGGGGGAATTGACAGGGTGGACAGACAAACTATTTAGCACGGGTGGAACACAATCATGGTAATACAGGTGGAAACATAGGACCCAAATGAGCCACAGAGGCATTAGGAAGCGATATGGTGGAGGCAGACTTAATACACAGTTTCAAATGTAGATATGATAAAGCCCAATAAGCTCAGTAATCTGCAGACTGATTGGTTGACAGTTGGGAGGCGGGATCAAAGAGTCGACGCCCTCCAGGTTGAGTACACACACACACACACACACACACACACACACACACACACACACACACACACACACACACACACACACACACACACACGCACACACACCAGAGCCACAGAGATATTAGAAAGAACTTTTTTAGTGTCAGAGTGGTTGACAAATGGAATGCATTAGGAAGTGATGAGGTGGAGGCTGACTCCATACACAGTTTCAAGTGTAGATATGACAGAGCCCGATAGGCTCAGGAATCTGTACACCTGTTGATTGACGGTTGAGAGGCGGGACCAAAGAGCCAGAGCTCAACCCCCGCAAACACAACTAGGTGAGTACACACACACACACACACACACACACACACGCACGCACGCACGCACGCACGCACGCGCGCACACTCAAACTCACTCTCACTCACTCACTCACTCACTCATGACAATAAAGACAAGTGTGTGAGAGCAGCCATCAGTTGATGCCTGCAACAAGCGGAGCAGGTCCACTAGCACATGAGCAGGTCCAGAAAGCTTCAGGTACAACCTAGAATTGTAGACTTTAAACCTCTTATGCCTTGATGCATTTGAATTTTATATAAGAGCCCAGCGCGCCAAACCTTTGCACCGCTCGACAAGACGCGGCTTTATAGTTAAGCAGCTCATAGAAGCTTAGTTAATGGTGCTTTGTCCTCCCGCCAGGACCCAAGAGGCATCTATCAGTTTTTGTTTACAGATAACTTTTTTAAATTGTTTGAAAAAATCTGTTATTAAAAAAAATCAGTCCCTCAGTGTTGAGTAGAATGTGAAGTTGTATGTATTTGGTTTTGGTTTCCCTATTCTCAAGGACAGGAAGCCTAGACCTTGTGTAGGATGCCACCCACAACAGTTGTCTAACTTCCAGTACCTATTTACGGCTGGGTGAATAGGGGCATCAAGTAAACGTAAACATGCCCAAGTGCCTTTGATCTGTCTTGGTATTTGAACGTGGAACTCTCGGTTGAGAGTCGACAATGTAGACTACTTCGCTGCAGGACTTTTTTTTTATGTAGTTTAAAGGATTATTTTGAGTCGGTTAAAACCCTCTATAGTCCAGACCTACTTATATAGGCTTAGTAGATGGAGTACACAGCTATGCCTGGGTCTTTCTCCCCCTCTCATCTTTCTTCCACCCTCTCCATCTCTCCCTCTTCACCCTCTATTCCAATCTCTCCCTCATGTCCCCTTTCTCTCACCCCTCTCCTCCCCTCCCCAACTTTCTCCCGCCCCTCTCCCTCAGCCTTTCCCCTCTACCCCTATTTTGCGCGCACACACACACATGGGGAGCCTGGTGGCTGAGTGAACTGCACTCGGGATTCATAGTCCTAGGGACGGGGGATCGATCCCCGACGATGACGGAAACAAATGGGCAGAGTTTCTTTCACCCCTGATGCGCCTGTTACCTAGCAGTAAATAGGTTCCTGGGAGTTAGACAGCTGTTACGGGCTGCTTCCTGGTGTGTGTGAAATCAGTTGATTGATTGACAGTTGAGAGGCGGGCCGAAAGAGCTAGAGCTCAACAGAGACAGGGAGCCCCTACCTGGCTCACACATACTGGTCGACAAATAAATTACAACATCGACATGTAATACTGTAAGTTTAATCAATAATAATTAACTGATAGTTTTTAATAACATATTTCATGTGTATCAATTAACTATTTCTGTTTACTAATTACTGTTAATAAAAAATCACAAACATTTTCACTTTACATCAGACTTACTGATGTAATGATTTTATGTTAATATAATTTTTTTGTAAGGTTACGAATTTGTTTTTTTGTTTGTTAACATTTTATTGTTTTATAATATTGTGTTCACAACTGGAAGTAATACGCTTGAACGGAATAACTTTGATTTTAATTATCTTCAGTTTTTTATGTGAAACTTTTGGGAGTGTTGTTGAAGAACACAATTGGTGGAGGTAACTTTGCCAGGGACGCCCCGAGGAACTAACTGTTCCTCTCTCAGTCTGTTCCTCTGTTTGACTTTGGTCTCCGTTAAACAGGAAAGTTGTACTCGCGTGAGTATGACGGCGAGGAATGTGTTTATAGCTCTGGCTTCACTGATATC